CCACGGTGTGGTGCATCACCATTGGTAATTAGAATGACAGTCCCAGTAGTAGACCTGATAAACCTTCTATAAAGAGCATGAGGAGGGGCGGCTCCTTCTCTGTGAACCTTTCATCTAGAATTAAACATGTGCTCTGTTTACTTCTGTTCGGAATTGACAGAAAGCAAATAATAAAGAAAATTGCTAAGCCTGAGATAGCTCAGGGCTTTGCAGGTAACAATTCATGAGTGTTCAATATATAGAGCTATTCTAGAACCTAGAAATTTACATCCAAGAAAACTCAGCTTCGAAAGCAGTACAGCACTTCAGTAAGGCATCAATGAGGCGTTGGGAAAGAATGAGCAAAAGAAATCCTTATGGATGGCCAACAGAGATTAAATAATCTGTTAAGCAAAGAATTTAGCGTACTGACAAAGCTAGAATTCTATTCCTGCCCAACAGTATTGGGTATGTATAAGCAATCAGTGATTTCCACTGGTTTTCCATTCTCTCTTTTCCTAAATGGTAGTCTTTTATTTTGTTTTATGTATCCTGTTGTTTCTCTATCATTCTAAATTACAGGAATTCGGACATACAACTTGTCTTTTAAAGTTATTTGTTGCCAAACCATGAGTTTCAGCTGTGTCTACACCTGCTGGAAATAACAGCATCACTAGATGTGATTAGAGGATGGAACTTGAAGGTAGATTCCTTTACGGAAGGATCAAATGCATGCCACCCAGAATGGGTGCCTGAGAAGACCGGTGTTATTGATGTTAAATAGACCAAAAGATGACTATTCTTAATTTTCTCTACTAGAGGCAAAGAAGTTAAATGATTCGTCATCCTAGACTCTTGCAGCTGAGGGGAAAATCATGACTCACTTTTGTCTGTTGCTATATGAACCCAAGATCTTAAGTTTAAATTCTGGGAAAGCTTTTAAAAGGGCAGAATCAGCTAGCTAGTCCTTCAGCCTTTTGTCTTTTTCTTTCTTCTGTTTAAAAACATTTCATTGAATTTACTGGGGTGACATTGATTAATAAAATTGTATAGGTCTTAAGTCCTGCCTAAATGGGGATGCAATAGCTATAGCTTCAGACACCAGTATATAAATATGTATGGATGAAAGCCACTCATAACAAATGGAGGGGCAACCTTCATTTTGGTGTGACTCCAAAGCATTTATTATACACTGCTTATCTATGGCTGCCTTATTAATGAGTAAAATAAACATCTGTAAGGTTAGGCTATTGTTAGGTGGATTTCTTAGCCCTCCTTTTAAGCATACAGAGACATGTTCTTTAGCCAATAACTTTCTTCTAAATACCCTGAGGTTGGCAAGAAGAGTAGCAGCCATTATTCTTAACCCAGAGCTATAGCAGAATGAGAACATAGATTAAATATTACAAATCTGGAATAAGAAAGAGATTTTGTTCAATTTTGATCCCCCCAAAATGAGCGAAGTTCCTGGCACTTAGCAGGCAATAATAATGTTTACTGATGGAAAGTACTTATTATATTTCTCAAGAAACTGCTTGGTAATAATATTAGAATTAAAGCATATGTTATAATATGTTCAGTAATGAATGTGTTTTATGAAAAGCATGTATTAAATGATTAATACTTATTGAATTTGGCTATAATTTAAGGATTGTGCTAAATTTTTGTGTAGTTTTTCAAAATTAATTCTCACAGCAATTGTCTAATGAAGGTATTATTACCAGAGACTTTCAGAGACATTTAAATAACTTATCCAAGGCATACAGCCCTGTGGCATCTGAGCCAGGACTCAAGGCTAAGTTTCTCTCCCTCCAAACCTATGCTCTCACTACCATGTGTTACTAAAATATTCTAGACCTGCTTTCCTAAAAGAAATATATCCTTTGATCTTTAAAATCCCTTTTTTGCCATAATAGCAAGTGCACAGAAAATGTTAGCCTGTGTTAATGGTTATGCATTATTTAAAACCTATTTTAATTTGTTGATTTTGAGGGAAAGAGAGTGAGGGAGAGAGGGAAAGAGACATCAGCGCAGTTCCAGTTTTTTGTGCATTCATTGGGTGATCCTTGCATGTTCCCTGACTGGAGTTGAAACTGCAACTTTGGCATGTTGGGATGGCCCTCTAACCAACCCAGCCAGGGCAACGATTACACAATATTAACCAGTTACCACTTACTGAATGATTTGTTGTTTAATTACTCTTTGTTGACAAATTGGTTGAATTTTTCATATACACACACTGAAGTGTTAACTAAATGGAGTGATTCAGTCAGAAGGTTTCATGTTCACTCCAGGTTGTTACTGGGAACCTAGAGTATTTGCAGCATTTTTTGCTTTAAAATCCCAGAGGTGTTAAAATGTGGCATCACAACCTGCATGGTGGGATATTAATAAGAACAAGGATGCAGGAGGCAATTCACTAGACACTTAAGTGGCAAAAGGATTATATATATATATATATATATATATATATATATATATATATATATATATTCAGGTTTCACATACCCTGCAGAATGCAGATCTATATGATAACAAATAATAGTTATCACCAGGACAAAGGAAAAAATGCCATGAAATTCAATAGCTCACTGAGATATCTGCTAACATGGGTGGTTAAGCTTGTTCCATTTCATTGTCAAAGAGAGGCTATTTGTTTCTGGGTAGTTAAATTACAAAGTCATTTACTGCTGAAAGTTTTCCAGTAGGTAGATGTGGACCTAAAACTCTGGGCTTTAGATACAAAGTTTGTGAGAAAAGGGGGGATAAGAATTTATACGGCAAAAAGCATAACTGGTAAAGTAGAAGTCTCTCAGCAACTCTAGAAGTAAAATAAAATAATAAAATTAAATAAAGTAAGTGTCTATAACAGTCTGTGGGGATCTCCTACTGTGCACATTGAGTATGACCTAAAAATTAGATTACTAGCTACAATAAATAATTTTCTTAGAAGGTCCTTAAAACATTTTCCCATTGATAACATCTAGTCTAGGTGAATTGTCAGTGACTGGAGTGTGTGTGCATGTATGTGTAAGAAAGGGCAAGAGATAGAGAGAGTCTTTGTGTAGGAGAATGCTGAGAACAGAAGGAAAATATTCATATGACTCCTTGATAGTTATAAAATTAATGGCAACTTTCTTTTCCTGTTGTACAAGATGGTAGTGGTTCTTATCCAGTAAGAACTATGTATATATTCTCAGAACGGTTGTAAGAGTGGAGATTATACACACTATATTCATTACTTCTAAACTGTCACTAATTAGCAATTTCTAAAATTTGGTAGCTCATCAATGAAATAGGCCAGAGATGTTCCAATAAAATTTTTATAAGCATTCGTCTAATTGTTTTCTTGCAAATATGAGCTGCCTTTAAATCCAAATCCAACATTTACATTTTGCATATTCCTAAAAACTATATCACTTGTTTCCAAGATATAAGTTACAACTTAAGTTGCCATGTAACTTAATTCTTTGCCATGTAAGCTTTAAACCAAGACATGTACATAATTTCCTTATTAATTACTAATATTAACTTAATCAATCTTAGGTCGTGACCAAATTCAAAGCTTCCAAGAATTATCCTGATGAGGAATAAATTACATAGCTGAAATAATTCAAACTCTAATTTATGCTGCCTTGAAAAGCAATTAATGAGTCATACAGGGCAATGAGTCCATCAAAGTAATCTATATGAGAAGTGACCCACAACAGAAGGTTAACAGATACTGGTGGTATCAGTTTGCTGGAAGACAAGTGAAGATGAAGAAAACCAAATATCCCACCTCTAGTCCTCTAAGTTTGAAAATAGAAAACGTCATCAATGAATGTTAGCAATCATAAAGAATTCCATTCCACGACTGCCATTTTGATGACTTTGCCATTACATCATTCAGCTGTCATAGCAATAATGAAGGATAAGTGTATGTATACATGAACATGACACAAATGCACCTCAAGATCAGCTGGCTCTTCTGCCTAACTTCTGAAAATTAGAGATAAACAAACTCACAGAGAAATAGTCATCAGAAAAACATTTCAAAAATTAAGTTGCATGTGAAACAAATACAAAATGATTATTTTAAAGCAAATATGTACCAAATATCCTTATGTTATAATTTTAAAAAACTCTTTATTTGGAAATAGTTATAGATTCATAGAAATTTGCAAAGAACATGTAGAGAGATCCCCTCTACCCTTTGTCCAGTTTTCCCCCAAGAGTGCATACATATTGTATAATTACAGTACAATATCAAAACCAAGAAATTAATATTGGTACACTATGTGTGTCTAGTTTTATGTCATTTTTATTATACCTTTAGATTCTTATTACTGCAATTGGGATACAAAACTATTATAAACAACTATATTTATTTTATTGAATATAAAAATGCCTTATAATTTCAGGAGGAAGTTCCAGACTACTTTTTATACATACCAATAAATGTGTGTTGAAAATTATTACTATCTAGAAAAGTATTATCTAGATAAACTCTATTTATAAAGGCAAAAGTGAAATTCTAGCAAACAGACAACAAACACTTTGGTTAACCTCATTTTCCTGCACAGATAAGAAGTCTTCATCTTTCAGTAATCAGCTTTCCCCAGTATGAGAGTGGGAAGTTCTTTAGCACTGCTTATCAAAGACAACTTGCTGAGAACTGGACCACTCCAACACTATTTCCTGCTAGAACTCCTAGACACACACACAAACACACACACACACAAACATACACACACACAAACATACACACACACATCCCTTTTGCAGGCACAACAGCCCTTCGAAAAGCACCCTTAAATCCCTAGTGTGGTTACCATAACAAAAGAGCACATTAATATATACGTGTATAGATAGAAAAACATATAAACCAGCCAGCTTCTTCTAAGCCAAACTTCTTGTGGAGTTTCTTATTTTCCCTAACAAGTGAATAGAATCCCAACTGTTGCCAAGTGCAATTCTGATACAGCTCACAGCAATGGGAAAACACATGATCACCAAACAATCTAAAACGCCCATCTTACCTTGGCCATCTGTGCCTGCACGCCATTTGCCTTGAGAGATGCTACTGCTTTCTGGGCAGCTGCAGGACTGTCAAAATCCACAAAACCATAGCCTGTGAAAACACAAACCCCTTGTTAGCACTCACAAAGAGCTGCATCTTTACTGTAACTATGGGGTGTGCATTTGAGATCACACTTGCATTCATAACCCTGGTTGAGCATAAAGGCTCTCAATATATGGTCCTTACCATGTCTGAAAAATTACAGTATCATTAAGAATAAAGTAGTAAGTCTTATGCTCTAAACATGGCTTTGGAAACTGGGTGTGCAATTAGCAACCTGTTCTACTTTCCTCAATGGAGTTGCTGCAAGAATGAGGAACACATAATCCTCAAAAATATTTTTTTTAAAGTTTCTCTCTAAAGTTACTTTCAAAGTCTCAAAAAATGGTGATGTTTATAAAAGCCAGGATAGAACCTGCCTAAAGATATCATCACCAGCAACCTTAACAGTACCTAGCACACAGTAGGCACTCAATCAATACATGTTAACTACATGAATTAATAAAGGTCATTAATGAGAGTTAGGGTTTGAACCTGGCTCCAGTTGATTCCAAAGCCTCATTCATTACTCGAGCTTATCTTTCTCAATCACATCTTAAATAAATTATTTTGACTCTGAAGTGATCTGTGATAAAAAAAAATAATGACATAAATATTCAATCTTTTCAAAATAAGGAACAGGTTTTAAACTACATAAAGACGTTTTAAACACCCATGTTTCTTGTTAATAAAGTGCAATCTAAAAAGGGCACAAGACTTGCTTACAGTGTTCACTGATTGTGTGCCTGCCTGTGTGTGTGTGTGTGTGTGTGTGTGTGTGTATAGAGTGAGGTCAAAGAAATAGCCAGTAAAAGAGAATAAAGGAAAAAGGGATTTTGCATGCCCATAAAACAGCTGATATGGGTCCAGGACTTAGCCTAACAGCAATGTAAGCTGCCAAGAATGTTTAAACACAAAAATGCTCAAGAGTGAATATGAGGGCAGCTTGGTTTGGCACATCTAAAAAGCCCACCATATGTAACCCATGCCTCTTCTCATGGCGTAGGCAGGGATTGGCACTGTATTCCTATGCTTGTCTCATTTAGAAGTGTTGAGGTGAACTACAAAGGCAAACCTACTAACCATGCATGGCGACTCCCCTCTCCAAAAAAACCCAAAGAAATGTGCACAAGAATTCAATTACCAAGTTGTTTCTTTTAATTAACTTTTTAATTTTCTCCCCTCGAATCCCTTCTTCTTTCTTCCTCCCAGCATGTTATCCTGAAATGAACTTGTTACCCAGCAGTATACCGTAAAATGCTCTTGAAAAGCTGGGCAGAGGAGCTGTGAAGTTTGTACTTCTAATCCAGAAGAGAGCCTGCTCTGTGAGCACTGCTAATTCTTCTCTTCCCACAAAATCCAAACTATGTGAGTAATATGAGTGTTGCCACCCACTAAGCTGTGTAAAATAGGCAAAAAAAAAAGGCAGAAAAGAAAGGAGAGGAAGAACAAGATAAGTCAAGCATTGGAGTTGCGTGGAGAGGATACTAAAAAATGTAGACGTTTTCACACTGCGTGGGGTGGTTGCCATGTGCACACCTGGTGAAATTCTAATGGCTTCATGTACTATTGTCCTCATGTCCCTCCATGTCCCTCCATGAAGAAACTGAGGCTTGGGAGAGGTGACACAAATCATTAGCTGTCAACTGGCAGGTCTAGAATTTGAAGGCGGGTCTGCATATGCCCTTTTGAAACACATTATACAATGACCTGCTTTATGTCGTCACTTGGCAAACTATTTCTAGTGGCCCCTGAAGCCCACCATGGAGAAAACACAACTCCTGTAACTCCCTTGGATTTTGAAGTTAGGGCATGAGATAAAACCATTCCATGAAGGAATTCAGCCCAGCTTGTTCATTCAGTACACTTGTGAATGGAGTGGTTGAGTTCCTCACTAGAACTGGCTAAGTCAGGCACCTCCTTCAGCTGCATGCTTTGGCCAGTCTTCCTCATCCATTCCCATGATTATTCTTTCATTCAATAATGAAATTCCATGTCAGGCACTTTGCCAGGCTCAGGGTGTATAATAGTGAATAAAGCAACTCTAATTCCCATCTTTCTACAGTTCATGGATGTAAAACAAATAACTATACAAATGAATCTATAATGAGAAAATAGCCTATCTCCCTTGAAAGAAAATGAGAATGTATCATGTAGACTCTAACTATTGACTGTTTATTATTGAAAGTCCTAAGGAACAGTGGTATGAAATGATCAGCATTTTTGTCACTTCAATTGGCTTCAACTAAAGATTGAATGGTTGTGGAGAGAGTGGGCAGCAACAATGGAATCGGGAAGGTAACATCGAGTATGAGGACAAGGAGAGCCAACAATGTCCAGTGTATTTAGGAACATGGCTGCCCTTGTGGTTCGCTTTGGGCAAGTGGTGGGGAGCGAAGTCTGCTGGAGGAGCTGAAGAGTGAAAGATGGGGAGGCAGAGAGACTGCTCACCAGCCTCCTTGCCATCACCTTGGCTGGGTGGAGAATTCATAAACAGCATTGGCTAGTGGAGAATATGAGGTCTCATGAGTTGTTCGTATTTGTTCAAAGACAGAAGATACCATGCTTTTCAATCTTAGCTGTGCACTAGAATCATATTGGGAGCTAAAAAATTACCAGTGTCCAGGACTCACCCCCCTAGAAAATTAAATCAATATTCTTGGGACTATGGCCTGAATGTTTACACACACATACACACACACAAGTGTGTGTATACGCGTGTATATCTATTCCCAGCTGCTTTCAATGTGAAGTCCAGGTAGAGAACTACTGATCATTTATTTAGGCTATTTGATAACTATGTATTTGTGGTACCTATTAAGAGATTGTTCTTGGTAATTTTGAATAACTATAAAAAAGATCAAGCAGAAAACAAGAAACTGAAGCTACAGGAGGGCAAAGGGATAATTTATATAATAATATGATGATGATATTACAATATTCCTGAGAAGGGGGGGAGTGAGGGGATCTAGAACTTCTATGAAACACAGCGCTGCGCTAAAAGAGGGACCCCCTCCTCTGCTCACTGTGAGTGCAAGAAAAACAAATAGCCTCTGCTCACTAATCACTCTGGGCGATCAGTGCTATTTCCTTGTATATCCCGAGTTATTGGGACTGTGCATAACACACAGCCTGTGCTTGCTAAGTACCTGGTGGAATGAATTGAAAGCATGTTTGAAAGATGCTGAAGTGCTGCATGGGACTACCATGGAAATGGACAGGTAAAAAGGCCCCTTAATACACTTTGACTATAAAGAACACTATCTGTGCCGAGGAGTCAGGGTTCTGGAGAAAAGCAAGCCCCACCTTCAGGACTCTTGGCCTCCAGGCCAGTGCAGCTTCTTTTCTCTGGGTTGCTCCCTATTCTTCCACACCCCGAATGTTACACAGGGTATTACAAAATCATGATGCTGATATCCAGGGCTGAACTCCCATCCAAACCAAAGGAATCTCTGAGGAAGGAGACAGCCTCAGCTTTCTCTGAATCAGGGAGGGGATGGAAGGACTTGGAGAAGAGTGCATTTCTAAGGGGCCACCATGCCAACAAGGACAGACAATGCCCGCTTCCTACACAACCCGCATAGACACAGACATCAGCATGGTGATTACCGGAGGGAAAGGAGGGTGGGGGATGGTAGAAGAAGATGAAGGGGTGATAAACGGTGACAGACACTGGACTTGGGTGGGGAACACACAATACAACACAGAGATGGTACAGAATGTATACCTGAGACCTATATAATTTCACTACCCCATGTCACCTCAGTAAAGCCAATTAAAATAACTAAATAAGAAAATAAAATAGAAATATATAAAACCAGCAAAGCAACTTTCGGAACTGAAAGAATGAACATTATTAGAAGGATTTAGCACCAACAAAACAGAGTTTCTTATTCCTGTTATTTACCATTAAAAATAAATTTCACCACATAAGAAAGAATAAACCACCAGAACTGAAATATTTCAGCAATTTCTGCGTTTTCCATACACATATCACTAATTAAAATCAAAGTTCAGAGGTAAAGATGTCCCAAGCAACCCTGAGAAACACTACGGATTTTAGAAACAAACACAGCGTTCCTGAGTCTCGTGCGACAGCATCCGCCACATCGCAAGGAGAAGAAAACAAAATGAAATACAAAGTTGCCCCTGAAGAATAATGATGCCTTTACTAAGGAAAAAGCAACTTCAATTTGGTTTCAATTTGCTTTCCTTAATGACAAATAATCAAGTCTGGGAACAGGAACCTCTGTAGCTGCATCTGGTGAGGGGCAGGGTGGGGGGATTAGTTCAGCTCCAGCTAATAATGCTTTATGGTGACTGCTCAAATCCTCGATAAAACCCCCAAGACTGGTGACTATCGGAAACCCCAGCCCAAGTGGCTGGAAGCCCACCGGTCTCACTCCTCAATTACATAATTAAGTCTGGCAGAGGGTTCAAATGAATTAGAACTGAATGTCATTGTTTTCGCCACACACCCTGTCCTTGTTTTTCTTCTATGGGGCGGGGCATGGGGTGGGGGTGGTGAACAGTCCTGCAATTAGTGTGAAGCAGAGCAGCGAGAAAGAACCACTCCATGCTAATTAGTTCATTCGCCAAAAGCACTCAATCCATTGGCAGGCAGAATCAAAGCTTTCCTGAAATGCTTCAAACTTTGGGTGTTAATTTAAATTTTTACTATTTTTTTTTGCACTACAAGCCTGATGACTATATAGAAAATATATACATATATATATTTATAAATGGAAATAGAGTTTTACAAACAGTGGTATTGCCTGGGGGTTCTGTTCATGTTTTCTTTAGTGCATTTGTAGGCAGCTTCTCTGTGACCTTTCCCATTTGAATGGATGGCTGCATGACAATCTACTTGAGTTTTATTAAACATTTCTTTTCCACCTTTACCAGCCTATTGGATACCTCAGCATTGCTACTGGCTCCTTACCTTCTCTATTTATGCTGCTTACTTAGTAACCAATATTGGAATTGTTCTCTACGCAGGGGACAATGGAAAA